TTTCTCACTCCCTGCTAGGGTGTGTAGCAGAGGTGAAGCATAGTATGGTACCCTATGGCCTGACAGACCACTGGTTTGCGGTGAAGGTGACGCTCAAGGCGGCGGCCCTGGCTTGTGGAGGCTCCAGACGCCTCGGCCTGGGGGAGAAGGGGTCAAGAACATCATCTCAGCGGTGGTGACGTCGCACGGGAGCAGCTTGGACCAAAGCCTGGAGAGGCTTGTGGTGAACCTGCGAGCATGCATGCGGGCTCACGTAGTAGAAGAAAGGAAGAGGGTGAGAGCGACTTTGTTACATCTGGAGCAAAAAGTGGAAGAGCTGCGGTGGAAAGTGATGGCGGATGCCAGATCGCAAGCCCTATACGAGGAGCTGATCAAAGCCGAAGCAGCACTCAAGCTTTATCAGGACTGCAACAAGGAGCGGCTGCAGGTCATGACGGGGTTGCTGATGGAATTGGCGAGCGAGACCCCTTCGGGTTTCCTGTCGGGGCTGGTCAAATCAAGAAAGGCAAAGACGGAGTTTCTGGAGGTAGTTTTCAAGGGGGTGCAGAGGAAAGGGGCGAAGGATGTGTTACAGGCGGCTTCAGAGCACTTCAGAGAAGCATGCGCGGAGTCACCGTCAAATCATAACATAGTGCCGTGGCCAATAGACGAGGAAAGGAGACTGCAGGAGAGGATCAACTGCAACTTGACGCGGAGTGGTCGGAGCAAGAGGTGAAGGCAGCGCTCAAAGGCTTACCAGCGGGGAAGGCTCCGGGCAGGACGGCCTACCGAAGGATTTTTTTGAGCAGAATTGGGAGTTGCTCCGGGCCCGGAGGTGATGAAGGAGGTTAAAGGCTTTGATGTCGACGGGTGTACTCTCGGAGGCTTTTCACAGACTGCGGTTACCATCCTGCTGCACAAAAAAAGGAGATAGATTGTGATTTGGGCAATTACAGGCCGATCACCTTACTGAGCTTTTCTACAAACTGCTGGCGAAAGTGATGGCGAACAGAATCAAGCAGGTCTTACCACGGGTGATCTCGGACAAAACAGTTTGGCTTTCTTCCGGGGAGGAGCCTTGCTGACGCGGTCCTCGCTGGTAGCAGATGTAATTGACGCAGCGGAGGCGGAGGATGAAGATTGGCTACTGCTGCTGGTGGACTTTCAGAAAGCCTACGATTCCGTGTCACGTGATTACCTGTTCACAACGCTGCGCAACATGGGCTTTCCGGAGAAGTTTGTAAGATGGGTGAGAGGTTTGCACGATGGTGCAGCAACCAGGATGCTGCTGAACGGTTGTGTAGGAGATCGGGTGGCGATGGACAAGGGAGTACGGCAAGGCTGTCCACTCGCCCCTTATCTCTTCCTTTGTGCGGTGGAGCCGCTCTGCCAGAGATAGGGAGGAGAAATCTGGGAGTTCGGAAGCGGGGGTGAAGGGGGAGCTAGCCTATATTGGGTACAGCCGATGATACAACTCTTGTCCTGAGAGGGAAGGAACAAGTGGCTACAGCGGGTAGGGCTGCTCGACGAATTTGCTGAGATTTCGGGGCTGAGGGGTGAACAGCAGCAAAACGACACTGATGCCGCTGGGGAAGAACAGGAGGAGACTGCAGCCGATAGAGTCGCGTTTCACATGGGCTAACAAAGGAAAGTCGGAGCCGTTTACTCGGAATCTGGATCACCTCTGGAGGGTCGCCGGGACCTGCATGGGACAAGGCATTTGAAAAAGTCAGCGCGGTGCTGAGCTGCTGGGAATTCAAAAGCACCTCAAGACGTCGGCACGAGTCACAATCATCAACAGCTACGCGATGCCGATTTTGTTGTTCCAAGCACAGATTTACGCTCCGCCGCACGATATCTGGGACCAAGGTGAAAAGGCTGTTGCCACAACGTTCATCTCGGGTGGAAGAGCGCTCCTTGATAGGCATTTCACCCTCTGGAGTTACGAGCTGTCGTGCAGGGGGCGGAAAGAAGGGGAGACTGGGAGTGATTGACCTGAAGCAGCGGATTGACAGCATTGTGACACAAATCTTGGAAAAGTTCTGGCGGAACAGGTGCCACTACGGAACTGGCTATGGGAAAGGGCGGCTGGTTTCCCGCTCCGGCTTGGCTACGATCTACGCCCACCCCTCAGTGCTAAAACATTGGCTGGGCGGCTGCACGAGGTGGAAGGCAGCGGTGAAGGCGCTGTGGGAATAAAAAATTGTGACCATGGGTGACCCTGCACACAGATGGGACGCGGAGGAGGAGCAGTTGCTTTTTAAACCGCAAGATTTTCTTCAGTGGCAACTCGCCCTTGCGGGAATCAGGCGGGCTCACACTGTCTGAAGGGCGTCCGTCTGGGGACCTGGTGGCCAAAGAGGCAAATGGTAGCAGGAGTCTCAAAAGCGAGGCGGTCCTGGAACGGGAGCTGGGAGGTGAGGCGCAGAGGAAGTGGGCTCTCAAGGCTTGGGAAGCGGCGCCCCAAGGATGGAGAAACTTGATACTTAACCAATTGATGGCGGAGGAGGTGTTCAGGGAAACAGCGCTTATCTGCTCACCGTCGTTCTGGCCGGGAAAGTTTCTTTACTATCAGCTGGAGCACGTGGAAGACGGCGTGTTATACGGGAGGGAGGGTGGAAGTGGATAAAAAGGGTTTCGTGTCGTTGGTGACATACGCTGAGGTGGGGACGGGTGGATTTCCTACGAGCTACGCCCATGGCGGTCATTGACGGGAGAGTTCGTGGCCCGCTAGGTACCCCAAGGACAAGGCTGCTACACTCCCCGATCTGTGAAAAGGGAGAACGGGCTGAGCTGAAACAGCTGAGGAAGGCGATGAAACCCTTGATGTCTCAACCCAAGCAGCAGCTGCGGTGGGAGGAGGAGACGGGGAAGAAAATCGATTGGGAGAAGGCCATCACGGTCCGGGACTCTTTGGCAACCCCATGCAGAGCGAGTGAGGTGGTGCTGAGGTTGCACAGCAATAACCTGCAAGTGGGGGAGAGGCTCCCTTTCTTGGGGGAGAGGGCGAAATGCGTGCACTGTGGAGGAGTGGAGTCGCAGGACCACTGTTTATTCAGCTGCCCGGCGATCCAGCAAGTGGTCGAGGTGATGAAGGGTGCGGTACAGTGCATTAACCGGGCAGGGAAATGAAGTCACTCGGGGACATGCTGTTTCCAGAAGAGTGGCACGTCGACCGGTTTTCCGAAAGCTGCAATCATTTCAATTACAGCACAAGCAAGTGTGGTTGGAGAGGTGCAATGCGGTGTTCCGTGGCAGTCGTTTCCAGCCTAAGAGAGCACTGAGGCGCATGGCGGTTAGTTTACGAGACACGTGAAGATATAAAGCAGAGTGCGGAAAACGGTTGGCTGGCAGGGGTGGTTCGAAGAGGACAGGGGAGTGGAGTCACCTGAATGCTGATGAGGCAACGGCTTTGAACAGGCTGTATGAGAACGAAGCCTCGATGACGTGGAGAGCGGGCTTCAAGGCCATATGGGAAGATGGCGGTGTAGCTTTCCTGCCCCCGTAAGGAGGAAGGGGGGGGCTGGTTACCTGTAACCACCTGCATGCCCTCCTAGAATCAGTTACGACTGCGAGTGTATGTATGCGTGTAGTATACTTATGCTCACCAGAAAAAAAAAAAAAAAAAAGTACAATTCGTTCTTACACGAAAAAAGACCCTTCATGGTGGGGTTCCATGGGCTGCTGAACACGAGTGTGAGTACAGGCTTGGGGAATCAGAACCTGTGCAGTGCTGCACCGCCGAGGGTTGAAATTGAAATCAGAAACTGCCAGGGTTTTCTGACATGTCTGCAGATGTGACAGGCTGACGAAAATGAGCGGGATTGGCCAATGATCAGCTGGATTTCAACTTTCGCGACTTCCGCTACGCGAGCTGTGTGCGACATTCTGGAACGGTTAGACGAAAGGTGACCGTAATGTAATTGGTTCACGAAAAAGTCTTAATGGACTGCCTGATTCGGAGCTGTGCATTACGGTAAGACAGCTTTCAAAATGTTACAGAACGCTACAGCTTCGGTTTGTGACATGTCGAATGTCTAAAATCCATGGCTGGTTTCGCCGTTGATATTTCTGCAGTCATGTGCTGGTTGTGATCTGAACCATGGCTGACTGGCGAGTCTTTCAAACTCTTCCAAACTTTCAAACTCGCCATGTCCTGGTTATGGGTGTTTTATCCGACGACTGACATCTTCTCACACGGCTAACTGGCGAGTCTTTCAAACTTGACGCGGCTGAATGACTGGTGTCTCAAACGGCGATGAGTGATGAGACTGACTGCCATCATAGCATCTCCCGAGCTCGCGAAGTGAGAGTGTGACTATGCGTCTGAAGATCAAGGCAGTACAGTGTAGGCTCGCCGGAGTATACGTTTCCTAGTAAAGGCCTTTCTATGCTTCATGTCTGATGTCATTCAGCCCCTAGAATTGGTTTTCGCTTAGACGAAGACACCTGCATGACCGTTGGAAGGGTTGTAGCATGGCGAAAGGCGGGTCCGCATGCACAGCTCTTTCGCTCAGTGATGACGAATATGAAACGCTAAGTGACAGCGAAATAGAATGTGCCAGGGACAGTGGTAGCAGGAATAGCGACAGCTACAGCGATAGTAGTAGGAATAGCGACAGTCTTAGCGATAGTGGCGGGGATATCGACAGCGATGCCGATAGTAACGGCGATACGTACAATGACGTCGACAGGTCCTGGGAGGTGGACGAAAATGTCAATGACGTGCTAACGGACGGCAAAACGGAAAGTATGATGAAAACAAGAAGCTACTTCATGTCGCCAGAAGCTACTATCTCGAAAAGTCCGGGGAAGAAGGCTGCTGGCAATACGACTGATCACAAAGTCTCCGCTTTGCCGTCCAATCCGTACGCGAAGGCGTTATCCTTGATTCGAGGTACTTCCCCAACCCTACCCTGTACTCGTTTAATCAAATTGCCTTTTGTCTTGTACTTTTTAGATGATTTGAGCTACTATCTTCTTGTTTCTCATCCCATTTGCATGATTCACTCCCACCGCAGCGGGAGAGTGGAGCAAGCTGACTGGTGAGCTCTGCAAGGCCTATCTGCGCTACTACGGCCTGCGGCTGAGCGACTCGAAGGCGAATTTGATCAGTCGCATTCAGAGACATTACGAGTAAGCTCCTTGTTACGTCAGGGAACGACATCTCGCGGTGACTTTTGATTCGACTCAAAAGTCACCTTCATTACGAGTAAGCTCTTGGTTACGTCGGGGAAGGACATGTCGCTTTTCAGCTGTCGAACGCCCTCCTGTTCACCTGAACGGAGTAGAGTCTCCTGCTGCTTCAGGGATCCGCAATGCGTGGCGGAAATTGCTGTTCAAGCGTGAAAAGCTGATGAGAGCCTTTTTTTTTGTTCCATATGATTCACCTCTGTTCCATACTTGTAATTTTTTCTTCGTTTTTTTCTCACTCCAAGACAGACTCAAGGACGTCCAGTCAGCTAAGCGCCAGTACCCACGCGCGTCCTTCTTCATCAATTGTACAGGTAATCAATAAGACAGTGTATTTTTATGTGACTTAGATAGTTTGACCATATACGAGATAACCGCTTCATGACATGCTGAAACACGTTCCTGTTTTCACACCTATTGGCACCGTCTTACTAGGGTTTTCTGGAAGTTTGAACTCCCGTTTTTCTGTTTCAATGTAATGATTCCACAGGTGATGTTTGCAGAAACGACGTTGTTCTCTTCAATCAGCGAGTATCCACAGGGTCGGTCTCAGGGTCAGTCCCAAGGTCAGTCCCAAGGTCAGTCCCAAGGTCAGTTTAAAGGTCAGTCCCAAGGTCAGTTTAAAGGTCAGTCCCAAGGTCAGTTTAAAGGTCAGTCCCAAGGTCAGTTTAAAGGTCAGTCCCAAGGTCAGTCCCAAGGTCAGTTCAAAGGTCAGTCCGAAGGTCAGTCCCAAGGTCAGTTAAAAGGTCAGTCCCAAGGTGGGTTCAAAGGTCAGTCCCAAGGTCAGTTTAAAGGTCAGTCCAAGGTCAGTTTAAAGGTCAGTCCCAAGGTCGGTTTAAAGGTCAGTCCCAAGGTCAGTTTAAAGGTCAGTCCCAAGGTCAGTTTAAAGGTCAGTCCCAAGGTCAGTTTATAGGTCAGTCCCAAGGTCAGTTCAAAGGTCAGTCCCAAGGTCAGTTTAAAGGTCAGTCCCAAGGTCAGTTTAAAGGTCAGTCCCAAGGTCAGTTCAAAGGTCACTTCAAAGGTCAGTTTAAAGGTCAGTCCCAAGGTCAGTTTAAAGGTCAGTCCCAAGGTCAGTTTAAAGGTCAGTCCCAAGGTCAGTCCCAAGATCACTTCAAAGGTCAGTCCCAAGGTCAGTCCCAAGGTCAGTTTAAAGGTCAGTCCCAAGGTCAGTCCCAAGGTCAGTTTAAAGGTCAGTCCCAAGGCCCGCCTGTTTTTCTGCATCGTAACATCTCATCTCATTGCCTCTGTTTTTCCCAAGCCAACGTCGCAGCAGCAGAATCAGCAGTAGCAGCAGTAGCAGCAGCAGCAGAATCAGCAGTAGCAGCAGAATCAGTGATGGTAGGCTCAGCAGCACCAGCACAATCAGCGGCGGCAGCAGCACCACCACCATCCACACCCCTCGTGCTAACCTTACCTTAGTGACAGCCACTCAAAGAACTGGCAATGGCAAGCAAGCGATTGACCCTCCCTCCCTCACTCCCCTCCGTGCATCCATAGCAACCCTCCCACCCTCCCTCGTGCACTCATTCCCATTGTCCCTATCTCACACTTCCAACCACCATGCACACCCCTTCCTCTCACCTGAATGACTGCCAGTAGCAGCACTGGAAGGTGCAGCCAGGCGATTGTGGGCCAAGGCTGGGGAAGGGAGGGGAGACAGGCAAGAAGAGGGGCTTTTGAGGCGCCTCAAAATCTGTAGCAGGCGACAGATGACTGGGCTGCATGTGACTGACTGGGCTGCATGTGACTGACTGGGCTGCATGTGACTGACTGGGCTGCATGTGACTGACTGGGCTGCATGTGACTGACTGGGCTGCATGTGACTGACTGGGCTGCATGTGACTGACTGGGCTGCATGTGACTGACTGGGCTGCATGTGACTGACTGGGCTGCATGTGACTGACTGGCTGGTAGAGCACGACTGCATATGACTGGCGGAGCACGAATGTTGGGATCGATTCTCAACCCGAAACACATGTGGGGGGGTCTGACAGTGAGTAGGAGGGAGGGAGGGAGGGAGGGAGGGAGGGAGGGAGGGGAGGAGTTTGGCTAGGAAAGCCAGCATACCAGCCCAGTGTTCCCAAGTGTGTGTTCCAAATGTATGTTGTTCACTCATACCCTACTCAAACCGATCTAAATAGTGACGCACCTTATTCAGCTGCATCCAAACCAACCTTTTGAACACGCCCTAAGCCAGTCACGCCTATCCATTCCTGCAGCGCGCAATCAAGACATATGTCCCCGAACGTACCGCTTCGAACCTGCACCCCCGAACCTGCACCTCCCAAAACTGCATTTCCAAACCTGCATCCCCGAACCTATCAGAGGTCCGGGTCCTGCAGCTGCACGGCGAGTATGCCAGCTGTCACGCCCACAGAGGCCGGGACCCGGCTCTTGATCTGCCATGCTGCCACCTGGCAGGACAAAACGTGAGGAGAAGCCCGAGGGTGGGGTAAGGGAAGAGTGGTTTGGGGGGTCTAGAATCTTGAGATGTTACAAACCTGGCAGGCCGAAAGGTGGGGGCAATTCCAAGGGTGGGGTGCAGGGAAGGGAAGGAACAAGGTTCAGGGCTTAGTGACCTGAGATGCGGCAGACTTGGCAGACCTAAAAGTGGGAACATTCTTAACACCTGTTTCTCTTTCTACCATAATTGCGACTAAAGAGTTCAAACCCCAAACCCCGTTCCCTCCCTGCGACCTAATGGTGGGGATATTCCCAAGGGTGGGATGCAATGCTATAACGGGTGTGATAATATCACGAGCATTACGGTACAGCTAGCCGGGGAATGCCGAAGGCTCACAAAATTGCGAGTGGCGGCAGCAAGTGGCCCCGCCAGACCCTCCTCTCCCTCACAGCCTGCGAATCCTCGCAGAAAACTCACGAGATGCGATAACGGATCATGGATTGCTACACTATACCGCGGATACGCTACACCGAATGCCTACCTGGTCGATTCCTAGTAACGCCTAACGCCTACGCCGCAGGTCCCAGAAGGCTCGCCCTCACCTCCTCCCATTCCTCCCAGGAAGCCCTCGAGACGCGAAAACGACTCGTTATCCGTTACAGCATTGCTCGGAGCAGTGCTTTGATAACGGAAACTAATAACGGCACGCCTAGTACCCGGGTCTATCCCGAAGGAGATGGATTTGCGAGTAGCGGCGGGCCCCAGCAGACTCGCCGGCACCGCCTCCCACTCCTCCCACTCCTCCCACTCCTCCCACTCCTCCCAGGAGGCCCATGGCACGTGTCGCAGCGCTAATCGTAGCCTGTAACGAGTACCGTGTTAACGAATGCTGTTGTTGTGTGACGATCAAGTGTAGGGGTGGCGAATGGGGGGAGCGGCGGAACCGCGTGGGGCGGCCTGAGGGAGGGAGGGAGGGAGGGAGGGAGGGAGGGAGAGAGGGAGGCAGGGAGGGAGGGAGCGAAGGAGGGAGGGAGGGAAGGAGAGATTGGGGGAGTTGAGGGGAAGAGAGTGGAAGGGATGGAGTGCTTGATGGGGGAGAATGGATGGCGAAGCACGGATGGGGGAAGGGGGTGTACGGATGAAAGTATTGTATCTCACAGCAGAGAATGACTGGCGGAGCACCAATGAGGGAGAGGACGCACCATGTGGGGTAGAATCCGAAGCGCCTTAAGAAAGTGATGTGAGGGAGGGAGAGATGGGGGGGGAGAGGGGGGGGAGAGTAAAGCACCTCACTCAGCCGCATTCAAACAAGCTCTATGAACACGCCCTGAGCACAGCCCTTCCTACACCACCCATTCCAAACCTACGTACCACTCCGAACCTGCACCCCCGAACCTACCAGAGGTCCGGGTCCTGCAGCTGCACGGCGAGCATGCCAGCTGTCACGTCCACCTGACAGTTCAAAACCCGCCCCCCGATCTGCCATGCTGCCACCTGTCAGTTCAAAACGCAAGGGCGGAATGGAGGGGAACGGAATAGGGTTTGCGGTTTCGCAGGTCACAGAAGCATGAATACGTGAAAATGAGGAAACGAGGATACTGGCGGCTAGGAATTTACTCACCGTGATTCACCCCTCTCAGTACAATCATAATTCATTTCGGGGATAACGCATGTCTTCATATCAGGGATGGCAGTGGCTTGGATGCTACGGTGCTACCTACCGAAGCTGATCGACCCATCAAGCTTTCCCTCACAAGGCACAGTAACGAATCACGAATCACACTACAGCGGGGATATGGCGACACCTACTACCTACCCGGCCGGTCGATCCCGAAGGAGTTGCGAATGGCGGCGGGCCCAGCAGGTTCGGCCTCACCGCCTCTTTTTCCTCGTCCCCGCGATATAAAGAGTAATACAAACGTCATAGCTAGTACCCGGTCGATCCCGAAGGGAGATGGGCTCGCGGGTCGCGGCGGGGCCCAGCAGACTCGCACGCACCGCCTCCCACTCCTTCCGGAACGCACATGGCATGTGGCGCAGCGCTAGAAGCAATAATCTATCCTGTAACAAATGCGATTGTAAATAATGCTGTTTGAACGAATGTGTTGTTGTGTGACGAGCTGTAGGAATCGCAATACTATTATCGGCCTAGTGCTAGCCTGGCGGGTGGCCGCAGGAAATCAAATCGTGATTTTGCTAAGAATTTCGAAGTACAAAAAAAAAAAAAAAAAAAAAAAAAAAAACAGGGATCTGGTAACATATGTTGCAACATGGTGCTCCTCATGGCATTTCAGCTATGTTGCTCCACGTGCTCATACTACTACACCTGATGATTCCTAAAGAGCTAGCGCACGAGCAAATGAGAGGTAGCGGGGGGTCTAGGCGGCTGACATTACATGGTCACAACGCAACGTGAGTTCAGTTTCGCCTAAAGCACCGTGCAAGTCATAGCAGCGATGCTTGACCTAATTACATATAGCCACCAATCTCTTCGCTCTCGACCTCGATATTCCTGATGCTGCGGTATTCGTCAGTTGCACAAATTTCCCAGCCTCGCCCAGAATGCCGAACCTTCCCTCTCCAAACCTTCCTGAGCTCCAAAACTCCTCTGGCTGCCCTCACCGCACGTAACCCAAATCAACCCAAGCCATATCAACCAACCATAGCAACCCAAACCATCTCAACTCAAACATAGCAGCACAAACCATAGCGAACTACCCAAACCATATCAACCCAACCATAGCAGCCCAATATCAAACCAAACGTAGCAACCCAACCCATAGCAACCAAACATAGCAAGCCAAACGTAGTAGCCCAACCCATAGCAACCCAGCCCGTTGCAACCCAACGTAGCAAACCAACCATAGCAATCCAAACCGTAGCAACCCAATTCATAGCAACCCAACCATA